AACAAAAGTTCAATCCCCGTTCCGAGTATTTCCTTTTCCACTGCTTTAAGGCTGCAGCCGCATAGATATTAAACAGTGTTGGAGATATACAGCATCCCTGTCTGAGGCCTTTATTTACTGGGCATTCCTTAGTGACATATTTCCCTAACCATCCATTATTCAATTCTTGCAGTGCGGCAATGACTGTATGATTTTTTGAATTGTATGATTTTCTTCTCAATGATTTGTTTGACGCAGAATAAGTTGTCGTTACAAGGCCGTCCAGCACGGAACCTACCTGGTTCGTCTTCTTGTTGTTCATTAACCCAATTTGTCCTAGTGGTACACCACCTATTCTATGATTTTTTTTGTCAAATCCAGGAAATGTTTTTACGCATCCATTTAGAAATTTTATTATTATCACTACTAAAGGACATAAAACCGTAGAAATCGCGAATTTATGTGTAAAGGCAAGATCTTATATATGACTTCAAAAGTTAAGAAAAGCGGTACATAGATTTGTATTACATTTTCAAGTAAATCCAAAATAGTAAAAAAAAATATATTTTGGATTGGAACTTTTAAATTTTGTAAAAAATATATGAACCTCAATAGATTCCAATTGATAAAGCAAAACTTGCACTTATCTGACAATAATCTGTTGGATAAAAATTATTTTGAAAAGCTAGACCCTTCTTTGATGTAATAAATAAAAAAATCTTCAGTTTGGCATATTTTCGTTCAGCTTATCCCTATATGTATATTTGTAACTCACTGGACAGTTTAGCAGTGAAAGCATGGAAATTGTATAATATTGTCAACGAACAAAAGATTTCCCAGGTAGATTTTAAATCTTACATTGCTTTGCGACTTTTAAAAACTGATAAAACAATTACTCAAAGAAATCTTGCACCTGCCATAGTGCGTTATAATAATCAAGGTCACCTCATGATTGTTCGTGCTAAGAAAGCCCGACGGAGATGTAGAATCTGCCACAGCCACACAATTTGCGTTTGTAATAAGTGTAAGGCGCATTTACATCCTTCATGCTTTATCACCAAAAATGAAACCGGGTATTACCAGTGATGCGCTCGCGCACCATAAAATACTATCCGTTTCTTGTATCAAATCGGGTTCTATTTGCAAAACCATCCACTTTTTTCTTTAACTTTCTTTTGTATATTTAAGTATAAATTATATGTTACATCTTATGTGCCCCAAAACATTATTTAATGTTTTTTCCAAGTGGTTCGTTTTGCGCACCAGTTTTTTTTTGTATGTTTCCAGTTTTTATTTTTTTTTACACATGTAATGTATTCTTAAATGCAACAAAATAAACAATTTCAGAGCAAAAAAGTTTTTTTTATGCTTGGGATAATATGGGTTTATTTCTGACTGCATCAACTCTCGTAATAGTCGTCCATATAACCCACTCGTCGTACTAGCCTCACAATGCTCTCCTTTCCCATCCCTTCGGCGCATTTTACGTGAGACGTTAAAAGGCCCTTAAGATCTGTTGCTTTTCCGGCTTAATTAATCCTCCTCAAGTTTCTCAAGGAACGTTTAAAACCGTTTTAGATGCATCTCGTTCAGCGGACACAATGAAGTATTGTTAACGATAAACCCTTTGCGGTGATTACAGATTCTTCAAATCTGTTTGGAAAAGTGATATTCCGAGTGTAATGAGCCGTTTACGGTGACATGGAAGATGCGAGTTTCGAAAAACTGATCTTGAAACCGAAAATCAAATTCTACTCAATTGTTTATTGTTTCAATGCCCACATTTTAATGCCTATCAGTAGATATTCAAAGTACAACCATGGGTTTGAACATGAACATGATTTTCGCAATTACTTATTGGTTTATGACAGCCGTTGCCTTTTTGTTAATCTCCATAGCTTCCAACAAATTTGGTTGTCTGTTTTTTGATTTATTATGAAAAATATCAAAATTTCTGAAGTTAAGTGAATCGTTATAGTGGAAACTTTTATTTTTATACGCTCTTTTTTTGTAATGCTTAATTTTGTCCGATATAAATTTTGGAACATGATCCACATATCTACTTGCTCACTCCGGATTTTTTTTCCCAAAATTTTCCTATGGTGTTTTCCGTTTTCAAAGCAATCTCAAGACAAAATTTAGATAAATGTTTCGAAAACTTTGCGTTTCTATACCACCAAAGCAATCTTTTAAAATTTCTGCAGGTGGTGGACCAAGTGAGTTTGAGTTATATCAAAAACTAGTCAAAGCTGTAATTACAGATTCGTCAACCTCCATAATCGGCAAGTTTAAAGACATTCAAATTCCAATTCTACTTAATGGAGAATATTCTCGCCAAGACTAAGACTTGTTAGCTTTGCTTTGCTTAGCCCAAAATTATTTTGAATTTAATGGTCAATTTTAAGTCCAGTACTTGTAGAAATTTTCGTGGACAATTTGGAAAATATCACACATACGCATCCTCTGAGTAAAAGTGGTGTAAATGAATAGATTATGTTTTTGCTACTGCAGTCCTCTTTGAATCATGTTAACCTAGAGATGGCAGTAGCTAACTCTTTAATTTTTTTTTACTTAAATATTATTATTTTGCAAATTACAGAAAAAAAATAGATTTTGTCCATTTACCTCAAACCCTCACACACGGACCAAGTAATACGCAATAACTGAAATCATCCTCACGCACGATTGAAGTATTATAAAAAGACTGAAGTTGTTTTAAGTTATGGTGATTAATAAGATGATATATTCGAATTGGATGTAAATGGGTATCCGTTGTTAAGTCTAATTTAAATTTACAACCTTACAACAGTAATTAAGCATCTAGCTCTACCAGATGTCATAAACCAATAAATAGCTGTGAAAATCTGTATATATTTTTTAATTTGCACATGTTTGTTGTGTTAATTTAATTTTGTTAAATAAATTTTCTTCAAGTCAAAGCCACCTCAGTTGAAACTTTTAAAACTTATTGTTAATTCAATAACAACATAAAAAAAAATAAAGAAAAACAGCATTAAAAGAAGTAATATAGCTCTTTCTGCTTCAGTTATGGCATAATGTCGTGAGTTCCATTATATAAGGTTGTTCGGAAAGTCATTTCGTTTTTTCCCGTCAGAGGACTTAATTACGTTTTTTCGAAACCGACTTCACACTTAAGCCGCATAACCATTATATGTCTTGAGAGCTGATATTGCAAGGCTTGTGTGTGAAAAAGTTCTATTAATTCTACGCAGTAGTTTTTGGTTGGTGCCCTTCTAAATATGGAGAGCAATAAGCGGCATTTTCGTCATATTTTACTTTTTTACTTCAGAAAAGGTAAAAATGCTGTCCAAGCGAGAAAAAAATTGACGGATGTGTATGGAGAAGGCGTGTTAACAGTACGCCAGTGCCAGAACTGGTTTGCAAAATTTCGATCCGGCAATTTTGATGTCGAAGATGCACCACGGTCTGGAAGGCCGGTCGAAGCTGACAAAGATGCGATAAAGGCATTAGTTGATGCAAATCGGCGAATAACCACACGAGAGATCGGTGAGAGATTAAATTTGTCGAAGTCGACTGTTTATGGCCATTTGAAAGGCATGGGCTTAACCTCGAAGCTCGATGTGTGGGTGCCCCATGTCCTTACGGAGCGAAATTTGTGTCGTCGCGTTGACGTGTGTGATTCGCTCCTCAAACGTCAAGAAAATGATCCATTTTTGAAGCGGATTATTGCTGGGGACGAAAAATGGGTTGTATACAACAATGTTAAACGCAAGAGGTCATGGAGCAGAAAAGATGAACCGGCTCAAAGCGTGTCAAAAGCCAACATTCACCAAAAAAAGGTGGGATGTCAAAGGAATCGTTTTTTTTTGAGCTTTTGCCGGACAATACAACGATTAATTCAGAAGTCTATTGTCATCAACTGGACAAATTGAATGATTCACTTAAAGAGAAGAGGCCCGAATTAATCAACAGGAAGGGTGTAGTGTTCCACCAGGATAATGCGAGACCTCACACAAGTTTGGTCACTCGCCAAAAACTTTTACAGCTTGAATGGGACGTACTGCAACATCCACCATATTCTCCAGATCTGGCGCCTTCCGACTACTATTTGTTCCGGTCCCTGCAAAATTTTTTGGATGGCAAAACCTTTACCTCAAATGAAGATGTCAAAAACCACCTGAACCAGTTTTTTGCCAGCAAGGACCAAAACTTTTATGAGAGGGGAATTATGTTACTGCCAGAAAGATGGCAAAAGGTGTTGGACCAGAATGGCCAATATATAATTTAATAAAATATTTATTCATTATACGAAAACTGTCTTTCATGTTCCCCAAAAAAAAACGAAATGACTTTCCGAACAACCCAATAGTTATCACATTAACATGTTTTAGATATTAGTTATTCTTGTATCAATGCAAACGTATTCGTTTTATTTTTCTCTTTTTGGTAAATTGAAGGAGAAAAAGAATTTTTTTGAATCGACTTCGCAAGTATTATAACCCCATACCTTCCAACGAACTTATAAACTTTTTTTTAAAGAGACCTGGAGGCGAAAGGTAACTGCTATTGTCAGGAGGCAGCGACTAAGACGATGTTATTTTTGACCCTTGAAAGTATTACGCCATTCCTGTCACCTCAGGAACTTTTTTTATGAATAATAAAATATTTATCTGAAACAAAAGATCTAGTTTTTAGGTTAGCAGGCTGCTTTTACTTTTACAGTGTTAGTGAAATCTCATACATCCTAACAAGATAAACAATAAACGATTGTTATTTAAAAATAATAATTTTTAACAAAATTATCTGCTAATAAATAAATAACGACTTTTTTTGAAAAAAATCAGAACATAGCAACTAGATAATTTGTCGCAAGTGTCCTTCTCCTTGGATCTCTGTCTCTCAAAAGAGTGTTAGCGCCTATGTTAATTATTGACGTTCAATTAAAAAACACCCTGTACATCCAAATAATATATCTATATGGTATATGAACTTTGTATACCATTTTTTCAGTTCGTTGTTAATTTGTTAATATATTTCAGGTAATCTGCTAGTTATCCTGGTGGTTACTATGAGCAGGAGACTGAGATCGATCACAAACTTTTTCCTCGCCAACCTGGCGGTGGCCGACTTTTGCGTCGCCATTTTCTGCGTCTACCAGAACCTGTTCATTTACATAGTTGACAAGTAAGGGAGTAAAATAATAATGCGCTCGTGTTTCAAACAAAAGATGGGTGTTGGGTATTAATTAAGGTTTGTTTAAGCCAAAAATAATATTTTATTTTGGTTTTTGAGAAAAACTCACCAATGGTATTGTATACAAAGCACCGAAGAGCAGCTCTCTCTGTCCCTGCAATTTATTTATGGGATGGCAAGACGTTATAAATTGACAATGGATTTGGAAGGGGAAATTTAGTTCGCTACTTATCATTTTAACGCATAATCTGTCACGACACAGTATCCAAGGGATGCATGGATTCTATTCAAAACTGTCAGACGCAAGCACTTTGAAATGAAGGAAAACATCAATATAATACACGCTGGGTCAGAAGACGGATTTGTCCCAACCCGTCTGCGAAGCATATTAGGGATTTTAGCTTGAATTATGATGAGGGTACAAGTGTCGAACTTTTTGAAAATTGCTGTTAAAACAAAATATTCCCAATGACAGTGTTATTATCGTGGATAACGCAAGTTACTACAGCCTAATGAAAATGAATTCAGTGTAAAAAAAAGCAACTTTGGAAAGTCCTAAATTCATATGCAATTAATAAGCAGTATGTATGTGGTAATTTGGCTCAACAGGTTCCTTTCTACATATCATTGCATGTTTAAGCCCATTGAGCATTTTTTCTTATGGAGAAACAGACTCTGTTACGTGTATTACAGTCGTGGAAATCTCCGTATTTTTGTAAGGTACTTTTATTTTTATATACACGTAAACAAACTTCTAATATGTGTATACAAGCTAAAGACAGTATTTTAAAATCCAGGAAGAGGGGTCTGCACGGTTTTTAAATTTTTTATTAGGAAACAATAACTATGCAGCTTTGAAGAAAGTTATGGGCATTGAGTTTCCCAAGACAGGGTTTCGTCGAGCTCTAGTCCTAAAAATTTAGCATGCTTTTTTATTTCAACGGCCTCCTCGTCCGACCGGATATTCACAGAAAGCAGAAAAAAATTATTATTGCCAAAACCTTCGAGAGTTCGTCCTTAATGTTCTATTCTTTAATACGAGGGCTGCCTTTTATATTCCGGGATTTTCTGCCATCTGGCGACTAACGTATTTATAAGGAAGTTCGACATTTTGAGGTTAGGTTTACTCAGTTAGGTTTTGGCGAAAGTGTTGTTTGTGTTTTTTTGTGACAAATTTTAAAAAATGTGACGGTTAAGAGTGGAATTTGATCGGGAGCATTTTTGTGCAATAATTTTTGACAACTTTAGACGTGGACTAACCCAACAACAATGCATCGATGAACTTAATTCGACTTTTGGAGTGAAAGCATCATCTAGGACTATCGTTTATCGCTGGTTTTCGGACTTCTGTCGTGGTCATAGTTTTTTTAAGGATCAATTTCGTGAAGGTCGTCCAAAATCGGTGGTTGTCAGCACCTCGAAACAAATGGTTGCCTGTTTTTTCCGGAAAACTGCTCACCTTGCAAATGTTTCTTTGGTGAAAGATGAAACACTCAATTCGGGAAAACAATCGCCGAAGACGAAACACTCTCCACGACAACAATGCTAGCTCTCACCGATCAGTGCAAACAAAGAACGTTTTGAGTATTAAAAACGTTGATTTGATGAACCATCCACCGTATAGTCCTGATTTAGCACCTAATGACTTCTTTTTATTCCCATACATCAAGAATGAATTATGTGGGCAACGATTTTTGACACCGGAAGTAGCGATTGATGCGTTTAAAAAGCATGTTTCGGACTCGATGTGGGAAACGCGCTTTTATTACAAATCCCGAAATATAAAAGGTAGTCCTCGTACCGGCCGGAGCCGAGTTTAATTGCCGTCGGGAGGTAACTTGCATAATTGCGGTCAGAAGCCAGCACGATGAAGATCGACAGAGACTCTACTATGCGTTAGATATAACGTATTTCCCAGCCGCTTATGTAATTTTTATTCCCTACAGCAAACGTTCGCGCTGCTTAGAATACGTTTTCAAATCAACTAGTTCCTGACTAGGTCAATTTCAGATTTCAGATCGCGTACATCCTGTGCTTGCGACCCCGAAGCTCACGATGTGCCCCGAAATTTAAACTTAAAACCGATATTGCATTTAGAGCTGTTTTATGGGACGCTAGAGAATTGATTTTAAGACCCCTCCGGTAATACTACGATGAAGAATTCAATATCGGGTACAGAAATCTATTTATCCCCGTAATTGTATTGGGAAACAATCGGAAGGCACAATCAGAAATAAAATAAATAAATATATAAACAGTGAGTCGGACTGAGGTGGCTTTTACTGGATGAAAATTTGATTAGAACAAAAAATGTTCAGATTTTCACAGTTTTTAATGCTTTATGACAGCTGTTTCGGCAACACCGCGCCTTTATCAAATACAAAATATCACTATATTCCGACACTTGTATATAAAAACAGCTAAAGTCTGTTCATAGATATAAGGAAGTGACTAACTGATACGAATAAAGGAAAGACCCGGGCAAGCTGTAAGAATGAAATATGGCAGAACGGGTCCGTACTTTGCTTAGAATTTAATTATTTGGGGTTTTGTTAGGAAAGATACTAAACAATATTTATTCATTTATGTATGTATTTATGTTAAAATCTGAAATAAAATTACAAATTATTTTTATTACCTACTTAAATTACTTAAAATTATTCACATAATATCACAAGTATTACTATCGCTATCATCGCCTGTCCTAATTATTATTTGTTCTATATTATTTGCAATATGGATATACGATTGTTCTGCTTTTTCTATATGTTTAACAGAATTTGCCCAACTTGGTGGAGGGATGTTAAAAACTTCGGTCTCTATAAGTTTGAGGACATTGGAGTCAACACGGGGAAAAACATTGTTACGACGAATGGCAGATTTCAGTTGGTTCCAAACATGTTCAATGTGATTAAATATACAGTGGTGAGGTGGAAGCCTTAAAACTGTATGCCCTAGATTTTTTGCACAATTATCATTGTAGGTTCAAGCTTTGTAGAACCTCAATTAATTGCTTTTTGGTATAATGTTAGTGAAAATAGATATCGTTATTATACATGTAGTTTTGGACTGTTGCTTTTGTGTCACATGAGAAAGGGGTTTTAGTCAACCGTCTACTGTGATAACTTGCATTGTCCATTACAATGACGCTATTAGGAGGAATGTTTGGAACTAGTGTCTTTTTAAAAGCAACTTTCAAATAAATCAGCGATGGTAATCCAGATAAGAATCTTTAATATTTTTCGCAGACAGAGAAAGTCTATTTGGAATCCAACCATCTTTAGAGTCAGCATGCAAAATAGTTATTCTTTTACCTCTTTTTGATGGCGCGTTTGTTTTACACTTATCAGTTGAGTCAACCTAACCCTTTTCCGGGGTATCTTAAGTGTCGAACCAGGTTTCATCCAAGTAAATAATTGGCCTTTGTTGTTCTCTGTAAATCCTAATTTTTTCTAGATATTCCAGTCACTATTTCCGAATTCTAAAGGATTCCACTATAACATACCTTTTGTCAATTTTTTAAAATCTGCAACCCATGTGTTGAATACAATTCCATAAGGTAGTTCTGCCAAATTTAACACCGGTTTCATCTTTTTTAAGCCTCCTAATTAAGATATCTAATGTAGGCACTCTCTGTTCTTCGAATAACTGCATTCGAGAAAATGTCAGCTTCGCTTCTTTTTTTCTTCGCTGAAATGGGATTATTCACAATTTTCCATACAGTTGATGTTGGAATTTTCGTCAATGTGGCCGTTTCTTCTAAAGATGCTTGCTTGCTGCCACCACGTTCAATGAGAGTCAAATAAACATTGTTTTTAACTTCCTTAGTCTCAATTGAATAGTGTTTTCTTCATTTGAGCGGGAGCATCTCCTGAGATACCCTAGGCTCGCACATATTTTGCATAATTCGCACACGATTCAACTAACGCTGTATTACCAAAAAAAAATAAGAATGACTACTAATAAAATTAAACTAAGTAGTATACCAAACCAAAGAATATTAAACACAGGCAGGTATAAAATTATTTTCTATTACGGACCACAATTTTGCCTGAATTTAAATTCCGAAAGTTTAGGTAATAATCTTGTTGCATTGTATGTTAATGGCCGCCTTGGATAATCCCAGTCAAAAGCAATTGGTTACTTTCCTATATCTATGAACTGACCATAGTAATAGATAATCAATTACAGGTACAGGTACATTTAAATCGAATTGGTCGTTAAGTAATAAATTCGAATATCTCATTTTGTAGCTTCCAAATATAGTTTTCGCTTTTCGAATGATTATGTAAAATATCAAAATTATCGTCGAACTTTTATTTTTATACGCCCTTCAATGTTCGTTAATGCGTTTCTCAAATGTTTGTCCGATATAAATTGATATTAAACAACGAGAAAACGAATTTAATTATGTTTAGAACTAAATAGGTAAAGAAAATATTAGTATTGTAAATAGCACTAAATTCTGAGGTTTACAAATTGACGAATTTCTTGATTCGTCTGAACATATTGCTGCTAAATACGTTAAATTCAATTTGTTATGGAATTATAGTCGTTGCAACTTATATGAATAAGGAAATTTAAAAATTATGTACTTCGCAAACTCTCAGTCGCGCATGAGGTATGGATGAAATTATCTTTAGGGGCGTAGTGGTTAACTACAGAGGACTCTTCGCACTGTCAACTGTCACTGCGTTCAAGGCTGAAGGTATTTTTGCTGTATATGCTTTAGATATTTATGAAGCATTGACATTCTTTTTTTAAAATCGAAAGTGCTTCGAACTACAAATATTTCATAGATAACCCTAAATGTAAATTGCCCTATTCATCGTTTAACCTTAACTGAAAAGAGTCCTTATTACATGTGCTTGAGATTGTATAATAAATTACCAAATGAGGTAAAAACAATTGCAAATCTAAAAATCTTTAAATAAACATTAAAAATGTTATTGATAGAGTTAGAACCTTACTCCATAGAAGATTTTTTCTGTAATATTTAAACAATTGTTTAATTAATACGATGTAATTGAAATCTGTAACAATATTAAGTGCTTTTTTCTTTTTCGACGCTGATTTCCTATGTTTTTGGTATATTAATTTTAGGTAATGCATTTATGACACAATGTGAAATAAAGTTGATTATTATTATTATTATTATTATAAATTTTGGGGCAAGATCCACATTTCAACTTGAGTTTTTTGTAATTTGTTTTTTAGAAAATGTCGTATGGTGCTTTCATGTAAATACAAAACTTTGAAGCTCAAGTCTGCCTTGATAGCACCCATGTTATCTATGTGTGCAATTGTTTTGACAATGTTCTACTTTTCACAACTAATCAATAAGTTAAACAGAGTTTCGTCGTTTCTTTTAAGGCTTATTTGTCGGAGACTGACTTGTCTACCTCTCGTTTATGTACGGCTGAAAACCCGTCATAACATTTCCATTATCACCAAGTAGCAATCTTGTCTTTTCATTATTCATTATATTTTGACAGCTCGCGATCGTCGTTTGTTTTTTTCTGACAATTTGCATAATGCAATAAAGCAAAAATCGTCAAACTTTTGTATTTAAACTTTTTTTTTTATTTTTCAAAATTTACCCTGTAGAGTGTCAAAACATGATGAATAACCCAGTACAAATGATAAAAATATAAAAAGTCAGAGAAAAAGTGCAATGGAGCATATGGACATTAATATTCGACTTAATGGACATAAACTTTCTGGTTTATGAAATCCGCGACCCATGACTGACCTGGATAAGGTGGTATTTGTTAAATGTCAATACTCCTAATCTATGTCGAGCATTAACTCATTAATAATATTTATTTGTTCAATAGGGCGTCACTTTAGTCTTATTTTAGAACTTTCCATTGATATTGTTTACATATTTTTTCTTATACGAGGGCAGCGCCAAAATTTCCCGGCCTCAATATGAAAGAGTAGAGTAACAGTTTTTTATTATTTTTCAATATAATCCCTCTTAACTTCAATACATTTATCACATCTCTTTATTAACAACTCAATCCCTTTAAAAAATATTCTCTGGTCAGTTTTCCTCGATGTTTTACACGTATGGAGTCTCGCAATTTGTATAATAATGTTGGGTAATATTTACCATTGACAGTGGTACGAGTTTCTTTAAAATATTTCAAAAGAATTCCTTCACAATCCCAACAGATCGTGCCCATCACCTTTTTTGTTGACTGGCAGACTCTGAATTTTCTTGGAGGTGCTTCACCCTTACGACGCCACTCCATTGATTCTTTTTTCGATAGAGGGTCATAATAGAGAACCATAGTTTCATCTCCCGTCGCAGTAGTTTTTATCCGACCCACACTCGTATCAGTTTCCACTTTTTTATATCTATGAACAGACGTTAATAGTATATTTCTTTACTTATACATAAATAATTTAATAACAACATTTGACATTTAGTTTACAGGAGTGTATCTGTTGAAACTCATTTATTTTATAGTTCTATTCTAGAATTAGTTAAAATTAAATGATGTGCTATCTTTGCAGCTGGCTGCTAGGAAATTTCTTGTGCAAAATGTACATGTTCATCCAGTCCCTAAGCAATACGGCGAGCATATTCATTCTGGTTGTCATTTGCACGGAAAGATACTTCGCCATCTTGTATCCCATCACGTGCAAACAGATACTCACTTCCATTCGGCTGAAGGTAAGAGTTAAAAAAAACACTTTTTTCGTTAATTACGAAATTTAATTGTGTGAACTCACAGCCGTTCCCTAAGGCACTCCGAAAGAGTTATGAAAATAATTGCGCTCGAAACTAGAGCGCTTGTGCTCCCGTTTATTTCTGGGCATTTATTTTAACAATTATTTCAGCTCATTATTCTCGGAGTTTGGTCCATCTGCATACTGTACAGCTTGCCGAAGTTCTTCTGGGGCAACGCTATTACTATAGGGACCAAGGATTCCAGCGAGACAGTGTGTGTCTTGGATCGACAGCGCTATAACTCCGAAATATTCGACATGGTGCACTTCGTTCTGTTTTATATCCTTCCGTTAGGAGTAATGTCAGTAAGTGTCTATTAAGTTTATAGCTAGCCACTATTAGCTTTTATATGTTGTTTAATACGTTGTCGTCGAGAGAAATGAATCAATACTTATAGTCTTATTACCTATTGTTATTTCGTAAAGACGTTAACAAAAAATATATTTTTACCTGAGGGACAAGACAGGAGTGGACCAGGTATGGTCTGTTCATAGATATAAGAAAGTGACCAATTGCTTTTGTCTAGAAAAAATTAGGAATTACAGAGAACAACAAAGGCCAATTATTTACTGTGGTAAGGTTTCCACCTTACCACAGCATATTTGGGCAAATTCTGTTAAACATATAGAAAAAGCAGAACAATCGTATATCCATATTGCAAATAATATAGAACAAATAATAATTAGAACAGGCGATGATAGCGATAGTGATAATGATATGTTATGTGAATAATTTTAAGTGATTTAAGTAGGTAATAAAGATAATTTGTAATTTTATTTTACATTTAAACATAAATACATACATAAATAAATAAATGTTATTTAGTATCTTTCCTGACAAAACCGCAAATAATTAAATTCTAAGCAAAGTACGGACCTGTTCGGCCGTATTTCATTCTTACAGCTTGCCCGGGTCTTTCCTTAATTCGTATCAGTTACTCATTTTCTAATATCTATGAACAGACCTTATATTTTAATATATTTATATTATTAATCGTAGAGAATTGAAGAATAGGATCAAACTCAATGATTTTCAAACTTATCGTATGAACAACAATAATAATAATAAACTGTCTTTAATGATAATCAAAATATTACAATATAAGTAACAATACAAGGGTGGCGACATTCGCAATTTGCGCTCTTCCATGTAACCACCAGAACGACAGCACCAACACCACATCATAATAGACACACATCATAAACTCATACGCTTTTGAGGGTCTAATAAACAAAATTAACGCTTTTTGGAAGGATTTATTGTGGGGAGGGACATTATAGCATAAGGAATTTCATTAAATAATTTAGCTGCGCTATAGCTAAAAGATCTCTGAAAAGTTACCGAAGTGTGCCTAAGAACGCAATATCTTAAACAATGACGGATGTCTGGGCTATGAATGTCATTTCCTCTGCAAAGTTTGTCAAACAAGTACGACGGGGTCTTATTGGAGTTTAGTAAAAAAACAAAAGTGGCTAACTGAACTTTCTATCGGTCCTCCAGCTTGAGCCAACCCGAATCAGAGAGGCATTGTGAGATATGGTCATACTTTCTGAGATTGCAACTAAAACGAATACAAGCATTCTGAAGTCGTTGGAGTCTCTCCTCGATCAGTATAGCTGGCCAATTACTGCAATAAGCGACAATGGGTCCCAGGATACTCCCCTAGGGAACACGCTTCTCCAAAGCAATGACATCTGAATGAGTACTTCCTATAACTACCCTTTGGTATCTCTGACCAAGACAATTAAAAAAAAAAGAAAGAGCAGTACCTTTTATCACGAAGAATTCCAGTTTAGCTAGGAGAAGGAAATTAGTCTGGGAGGGTTTTGTTATCATGTATTTCATTTATGCATTAACTCATTTCATTTCATTTTTTCAAGAAGAATGCAGTGGCGTACTGAGATACAGTTCTCCGTTTTCTCACAAATGAAACTTTCTTATTTTATATTTGTATATCCGAAATATAGGTCATTTTTGGTTTATGCATAGTAAGTATACCGTCACATGGAAACCTTTAACATAATTTTACAAACACTAGAACTTTCAAAGAGATAAGGTGTAGTGAAAATAACTTAAGTGAGAAACACGTGACCTAAGAAGCATTTAATATTTAAATTTTAAATGTAGATGTTTTTTTAATATCTAATATTTTTAACTAACCAAAATTAACCAATATCGAAATTGTTGTTCAAATTCAATTCTGCAATTCCAAACTTTCACATTTTCCTCATTTTTTTAATGGCATTCAAAACAATTATTGGCGTTCTTCGTAGAGTTGCTAAAGTTAAATCAATTGCCCCTCAAAATTTTGCTGCAGACGTCTATGGGGTTTTGTTGCTTATATCCACATGAAAATTAATCTAAAAGTAAAAGAAAAAATTGAATTTTGAGTTTAGTTTTCAAAACAACTTTAAAGTAATATATATTTATGAAAAGCTTAAAAATTAATTAGGGTACTTCAAAAAAAATTTTAAAATTTCTTTTCAGCCATTTTACTGATAATAATTGGAATTACTGAGAGCTTTAAAGAATGGCAATACGAAATCATTTCTTAATATATGTGTTGCCGACAATGATAATTTGACAACTGTACCGTATGATCTAATAAGTTCTGCCACCTACACCACGTACTGACAACCATTTTAAAATTTGAAATCCATAGAAATAAAACACTGACTAATAATTAGGATAAACATTTTGAGAAATTATGTAGATAAAAAATTATTAGAACCTATTTATGAAAAGTTCAAAATTTAGTAACTTTCAAATGGCTGTAATTAATTTTAACAATATAAATTGTTTTTTTGTAAAAAATCGCGAACATTATACGTAAATTTGATTTTAGTGAAAAAATAATTTTTTCCAATGGGAAACTAAAATAAAAATAGCGACCCCTTAGAGTTGAGCTGCAGGGCTCATCTTTGGTGAGGATTTTTTTATATCAAAAAGAAACATTTGAGAGGGTAAGAGCTAAAAAAAAATATTTTTTTTTGAAGCACCTTTCGAATTTCACACTGTATCTCAAAAATCAAGAGCTTCCCCCATAAAAGTGTCCAAAATAGGATAGCTTCATGGCATGAAAAAACATTGAACTTTTGAGTGTTCCTTTAAAAACCTCCATTTCGAGAATATAGCGGTTTAGCGGGACGTAAAAGCCAGGGGAACATTTCCGTGCACAAACGACTAGCCTCAGGGTCTCTAAAATGAACTCTCCGCCTAATACAAACACCTCGACGGACGGACTATTTTTAGAAATTTTAGAACCTGTCTACAATCAAACGTTGCTTCGTAAAAATCTGTTTTCTAGATCAAAGTGTATCCAGAAAATTGCATCTCGTGTAGTATATGTACACAGTAATTGAAAATAGATTGTAGTTTAAAGCGACGCGTCCAGGAAGGCGGTATAAATAACAGGTTTTCTGCTTCAGCTGCTGTACGCCAAAATAGCTGTCTGCCTATGGAACAGTTCTCAGCAGCTTAAGAAACAGTTGGACGCGTCTATAACGTTCGGTCAGCACCAAGGGATATGCCGGATGCACTCCTCTGGACGGAGAAGAAATGACAAGGTATTTATCTGGATATCTCTTAAGGTCAAAGTCTAAATGATAATTGCCTTAGAACCAGCCTCGCCTAAATCATTAGTGAGGTTGTTATACCATATCCAATCGCCAATTAAGGCTTTTGTTAGATGTACCGAGTTTTGTATTTTGGAAAAAACTGATAAACACGCAGAAATTCAAGAAAATTCACCCTTCAATAACTCCAAAAATGTTCAACATATCCGAATGACGATGACGGCGATATAATTTTTAGATTTTCTATCTGGAGAACCAATGCTGCATATTCTCTGGCAAAATATCGAGCTTCTTTATGTGTTCCATGTTAGGGGTATATTTCTGTCAAAAATCTGTGAGTATATATATATATATATATATATATATATATATATATATATATATATATATATATATATATATATATATATATATATATATATATATATATATATATATATATATATATATATATATATATATATATATATATATATATATACTCGTTTATTAAACACTCGCTACGATCGTGTCAAATAAACTCGTGAGTCGTGGTCTATTTTCAGCGTAATAAGGAACTTGCCCATTTCTTTTTTTAATTAAAATGTAATACACATTTATTATTTATAAAACATATTATACCAAACATGATAATAACTTTTTATTAACACTTAGTAAAGCTCGTAGTAGTGGTCATAGTGAAGTGAGTGAAGAACTTTCTGCCGAAAAGAAAAATACATTTTAAAGTATATATTTACTCTGTACAGTCAAGAAGTTGCAAAATAGGCCTAGGTCATACTTGGGATTGCCTGATGAAATTCGGTAAAACGTATTCTATGCATATATTTTTGACTTAAAAAAATTAGAACCGGAAGTACATTTGTTTGATTAGGGGACGATTTTGCCGACGGTAATAATAACATAATATTTAAATAATTCAGCTGATAAAAGCTGATAACGTTAAATTTAATTTAAATTTCAAAGTTAAAAGCTGGGAAAATTTAATGAAATGAAATTAAATTTTTGTATAAACGCCACCGTTAAATTTCAATTAATTAATGGGTAAAAGTTATGGCTACTGTTTCTTGTACCTTGGATACCATGTTTGAATCATGAGGTGCAGATTAAACCGCCTCATTTCATCATGATAAGGCATCAGCGCGTTGCCGTGTCCAATATCCACGAATGGAAGTTTGAGCTGATGCCGCGACCTCCCTACTCTCCAGACTTACGCCCCGGCGACTATTACCTGATTCCTAACCTCAAGAAATGACTTGGCGGTAAAAAATTTAAGAGAAACGAAACGGAGAACACCGTTTATTAACGTGCCTTCAGCTTTTAATTATTAATACTGGTAGAAGTTCCCGTCCGACGGCTGCCTCGAATACCCTGCGTTGGTCTGCGGCGAATGGTGCGACGAATTCATCAGTTTCACACTGCTGGGATGATTTTTCTCCGTGATACCCCCTACGAGAACCTTATGGGCGAAATTGTACCTATACGGGATAGATGGCGCTCGCTTCGATGTGCGTTTGCTTCTGACGTCGACCTTCGCCACTTTCCCCTGAATTTCCTCCCGTTCCGGAGTCAAGTCTCTGGTGTTACGCAAGCGCCGCCAAGTGGCCTCCTCTTGAAGGAACACGTCGGCTGCCTCCGGGAATAGTCCAGAGGATTGATCGTACGCGGACGCCAGTACGAAATCCAATTCGTCTCTGGGCACGAGTTCGGGAAAGTTCCGGAAACGGCGGTGCCTTCTGGCACTGGCCAACGTGTGGTGCGCGTGCATCCTCTGAAACGCGGGCAGGTCGAAACACGTGCGTCTTCGGTAGTTGTCGTCGGTAATCGGCTCGACGAACACGCCCTCACTTTCCAGATGCGGCACGCAGGATTTGTTGCGGACCTTGATCGCCGCCATGGTTCTTCTACGATTTGACGATTTGCGCCCTCCAAAGTGATCGCCTGTTACATTCTGACAGTTAGTGACAACATTTTGCGGGTGAACTTATTTTGAGATCTGTGGCGTGTCAGATTCGCGCGTTTTCTGACGGTCGAGTTCGAGTGATTTCCTGCCGTGGAAGGACAAAACAGGTCGTGGAAAATGTGTATGGAATTTTAACCAGAAGAAGCTTTAGAAGAAACCTGGCTGCTTATAAGAACGCCAATATCGTCGATAAGGGATATTATTAATAGTGAAGAATTGAAGAAAATGAATAAAAGTTGTGATTTTCAAACTCGCTGTCTAGACAATAGTGATCAGAAGAAGGAAAATATATTGTCCTTATCAAAGCGAAGCTGTTCCTACCTTGCATAAACTTAAAACGAAGCTAGAAGGAGATGAAACCATTATAAATATAAGCTGTTTGTAAAATTTAAGTGTCGCAAAATAGATTATTCACTTGGAAATCTAATTACCTGCGAGAAATTAAAACAGACAACAGATTCATAATTTAACCCCATAGAGCATTTATGGAACCAAGTAAAATCCTAAGAAAATTTGATAAGAAATATAATCAATAACATAGCAATTCCGCACAGCACATTATAAAAGTTGAGGAGTCTTGCATCGAACTGAGGAGGCTTTTAACAAAAATAAATAAGAAATAAAGGTTCAGATTTTCACGAAATTATATACTTACAAACTACCTGCCGAAAAATGACAATAAAACCTTAATTAAAGTTGTCAGAATTTAAGTTTAATAATGGAGAGGTATTTAAATCTAATTGATCGTTAAGTAATAAATTTGAATGTCTCATTTTGTTAATCTCCATCTAAAATAAATTTAATTTGCTACTTTTTGTGGCTATAAGTAAAATATCAAAATTGTCGTCAAAAATGTGTTTTTCTGTGTTTAAGTGTGTTCCTTAATGGATGTTCTAGTATGATATTTTCCAAATTATCCACAAAAATCTCGGCAAACAAAGGACTAAGTGGGTTTCCCATAATCAAACCTTCTTTAGAGATTTAAATCTGTCCATTAAATTCAAAATAATTTTGGTCTAAAGATACTATTAAGCAATCTAATAAATCTTGTTTCACCAATGGGTTAACCTGTTTCCGAGTGTGGGTAAAATCTACTAAATTTATCACATCCATAGGTGGAATACTTTGAAATAAGTTTTGTACATCAAAAGACAATAGGGTTGCGTTCGAAGGGATTTTGTTGATTAATTCAAAAGAATTTTTTATTGCAAATTTTGGATTAAAATCTGTGTGGAACTTTAAAATGTTTATTAATTTTTTATAAGAGTTCAACTGCTGGAGCTGTTATATAAGACATGACTCGTCTAATGGACATATTTTGTTTATGTAATTTAACTAAAGAATATAATTTCGGCGGTTGTGGATTCATAATTGTTAGAAATACTTGTCTTTGTCACTAAATAGTGTTGAGTTAGTAATTACTTCCTTGACTTGTCTTTGATATAACTCGGTAGGATCGCGTTTGATACATTGGAAAAGTTCTGGTTTAAGAAAATTGTTGGTTTTTGAAACATATTCTGGGAGATCGATAGCCATGACTCTCTTCCCTTTATCTGCACGTGTAAATATAATGTTATTTTCAGAAGCTTTGTTTTTGATAGATTTCACTAGTGACATTTCAGAAATTGGTCTTTGTTGTTATCTATTAATTGAGAGTTTATTATATTCGCTAATATATGTTGCTTAAATTAGAATCGTTAATGTCCTTAATTGCTAATTCACAGTCGATGCCTAAACAGCCTAACTTTAGTTTTTGTCTAAGAAACTTTTTATGAATGATAGATGAAATGTCTGCTCGTACTCTATAATCAAATGTGTCCAATTCTAGGGGATTAAGTCGATGAGACAATTCAGAATGTATTACCTTTACGTAAATGTTTGTATTCCGTTTCCTGTACTCGTGTCTTCGTTCTTCCTTCATCCATTTCGTCTGGCCTTGGATCTGGGCTTTCCATGCGGCGGGACTTCTGTTGTTGGTTTTTAACTTAATAAACTTGGGAAAAATCTTATTTTGTAGACATTTGTTGAAAAACCAAATGTTCTGGAAACATATTCGGCAACGTAGAAGCAATTTGAAACACCAAATAGCCGAGAAACCAATTTCAGCTTCAAGAATTGAACTCAGGTGGCTTTTACTTGATGAAACTCCATTTAACAAAATAAATAAGAACTGAAAGTTCAGATTTTCACGAAATTATATATATTCACATGAGAATTGTCGCCCACCCGATCGGCAAAATTATTGATTTAGAAGACGCGAAACACCCAAGGCCATAACTTTTATTTCGAGCATTTTTTAAATTATATACAGGGTTTTTCAGTTATATGCAAAAATCTAAAAGGTCCTGAAAATTCATGAAAAGTATGACTGTATGGTTTATACAGCCTTAAAGTTGCAACTTTTCTCTTTACACTATTTCTCGAGTTTAGTCTATTTTTTTACTATTACGCTATACTGCATTGGTTTGGAAAAAAAAATATTTTCTCGAATACTATTTACTATCAACGGCTGTAACCTCTATATTGCCTATAAGTTATATGGAGTTCCATTTAAAAAAAAAAACAAACTTTATTCTTGAAAAAGACGAAACCATCAGGAATAAACTGACTACATGGCTGAATTCGCTAACGGCTTTAAATTGTAGGCTGGAACCGCAAATGGTAGCAGCAGCTTCGGCGCGGCATCCAAGCAACATCTGCAACTGCAGAATTTGGGCGGTTCTTTCCATGCAGCGAGTTCACCGAGTCCCACTTGCAGCGAGCACGTTCTCAAAGCTAGGAAAGGTGTGATAAGGATGTTAATTTTCGTGGTATGTATTTTGATGGATATTGGACAATTTGTCGAATACTCATGACTGAGTCGAACTTACTGACGTTTCACCAATCATCCTGTTGCCTCTTTCAGAGCTTCACTGAAACTGGCTCGTTTTTTACTCTGTACCTGCTTATCAAGGGTGATTCAATAAGGGTTTCCACATTAAAATAATAAAAAACACTCGGAAATTTCCTATCACTTTTTGACACAATTCAGGTTCTATGCCGGCTATTTCGCGTCTAATCTCCTGTTTCAGCTCTGGAACAGTGTTTGGTTTATTTATATACACTCTGCTTTTTAGATACCTCCAAAAAAAATCTAGGTCACGGCGGCGGCCAATTGATATCGCCGTTACGTGACCAGGAAACTTGCCCCGCAGCAATTGCATCGTATCTCTGGATGTGTGACAAGTGGCTCCATCCTGTTGGAACCACAAATCTTCCAACTGCTTCCAGAAAAAATCAGATATCATGTTTCGATAGCGAACACTATTGACCGTAACAGCGTTCTCCGCATTATCCTAAAAAAAAAAGGGCCAATTATCACAAACAGTCACTTTTTGAGGATGCATTGCTTTTTGAACAATCTCTCTTGGATTTTCTAATCCCCAAATACGAGAATTGTGTTTGTTTGCAAAGCCACCAACGTGAAAGATGATTTTCATTGAAAAATGAACCCCTTGTTCTCGTATCCATTCTGCAAACACGCGGCGCTGTTGATGATCTCGAAGTTTCAACTCCTGAATTATTTGGACTGTATATGAGTGTAGATGCAAATCTTTTGTTACAATTCGCTATGTGGTTGAATACGTAAGGCCCACTTGCTGCGATCGATGACGAATCGATGTGTTTTGATCTTCGGGTACACTTTCGCGAACAATGGCAATATTTTGATCTGACCGACCTGCACGAGCACGTTGAGGGACTTTGAGGTTAGCTACAGATCCAGTTTGCTCAAATTTTTTAACCACATTCCAGAAGGTCGAAGCCCGAAATGCAGTTTTTCTTGATCGACACGTTGTTCAGTCGTATATTGCTCCATGACCAATTTTGTTTATGTTTTGAGGTTAGAAATCTCATACGATAATAAACGAATACAGTGGCATTTTAAAAATATTTCAGATTGTAATGTGGAAACTCTTATTGAATCACCCGTTATATTGTTTTAGATGGGCGGAGCTAAATGAGGGACATAAACACCGTCTCGGATGACGGATGACGGCTAAGATTGTTAAGTTGCTTATAGATTTCTATTGACTCTCTTCGTTGGTAGAAGAATTGATTACATGCAAGAATTTCAGTTTTCGGTAACTGTTGATGAATTTATTTGTCTTAGTCTTAATCTTAAGGCTCTTTTATATTCTTTGAGCCTGATTGACATTTTTCATCGGGCATCTCCAATGTATTCTTTGCCGCATATGCATGGAATGCTGCAAACTCCTGGCATCTTAAATGGAATTTTGTCTTTGACCGCCGAAGATGTTGAGAGATTTTTGGAGGTAAATCTGGTTTTGACGTTATACTTCTTTAGAACTTTTGATATGTGGCCAGTGATGTTTTGAATGTAAGGAAGGACCGCAGGATTGCTTTCGGCCTCATTGCTATCGGAAGGTTGTGGTGAAGTGTATTTTTTTATGCAACGCTTAATATGTTTAATGTGGAATTTATTAGAGAGAAGAGCAGAGGCAATGTGTTTTAATTCTGGGCTCAGTGACTCGGACTGTGATAGTTTTACGGCTCTGTAAACAAAGGAGTCGATAACCGATGATTTTTGGGCCGGATGGTGATGTGACCATGCATTAAGATATCAGTCTGTGTACGTATGTTTTCTGTAAACACAATGACCCAAAGTTAGGTCTGGTTTTCTAGTGATAAGAATATCTAAGAATGAAGGGTAAAACGTATGTTAGGGTGTATAGAGTTTAAATGTCAAAGAATATCTACTAGGGTTTCTTGACCATGAAGCCAAATAACAAAAGTATCATCGACGTAGCCTTTCCATAATTTTGGTTTTAGATGAAAGGTGTCGAGAGCTTTCTTCTCAAAGACAAAATTCCATTTGAGATGCCGGGAATTTACAGCATTCCATGCATATGCGACAAAGAATACATGGGAGAGACCGGACGAAAAATATTAAGTAGACTGAAAGAACACGAAAGAGCCTTACGACCAAAAACCGACGCAGGAAAAAAAAGTTGTTTGTAAACAGGCCTTCCGTAAGTTCAGCACTAGCCATAAAAAAATCTGGCGCACGTAGTTTGTAGCTTTACTGCCCGCTGATCAATATAAACCTGCCAGTCTAAGACCTGAGCTAGGATCGACCTTCACTATAGTGTCAAATAAAATAAGTTTCTGTTATGGCAACCTCAGCGGAAATGTTCAAGATAATTTTGAATTTGGTGAAAAGTGGTGGAAAGTATACACCATACACAATATGCAACACCACAGTAGCTTACCTGGTAGCCATCAAACAGGTAAGTTGATGTTAAAAGTTGCACTCTTTTGACAGCCAATCCCGATTAGTCTTAAAATAATTTAATCATAAATACTATAGTATAAAGTTGCCTCAAAAGATACTAGTTCCAAGACAGAGAGAGATTGCACGTATTTACTGCTCGTCCTACAAAAAGGACACCTTAACGCATTAAAAAAAAGATTGTGGTGTCATAGCCAACTACATTTTTAAAGATTTTGATATTTCTTTATTGTTATGATGCCAGATGATACGAGCTTTTTAAGAGGAACATTTTTAACTAAACTTTATGGACCGAATTAACGGAATCTTTTTATTTAACTGTTTGTTTCATAAATTTTTTTGTTCAAATTTGTTATCTCGTTTAGTTAGCCCATACACTTTGATTATTTATTTGAGTTATTTGGTATTTTCAATGAAGCTAGATAATTAACTACTAAATGTTTTTTTTTAAATATGAAATCTTAAGTTTAATTAAATCGGTTAAAGTGTATTTTTCAAAATTTCTACGTATTAATGGACAAACTGTAGTATCATGTCTTTGCTATGTAAAAAATAGCTAATATTGCCAACAAGCGACCTAATGTGGGCAGCTTTAAATTCAACAAGAATTTATACGGGTATCATCAAAAGTAAGTAAAATTTGATGATGATATCTGAATAAAATTTATAGTGTGTTTTATTTGAAAATCTTGAGATTTTGTTAATTGAATTCGCCAAAACGGCACCACCTATTTGTATATGCTCAGTGACCTTTATTTTAACCGAGGATTCCAAAAATGGCGAAATATACAAGGTATTCCATTTAAAATAACAAAGTTGATGTCGGGGGGGACACTGTATAAACAAAATTATAATATTTTAAACTTTTGTACGAAACTTTTTTTCGTGTCTTTTTTGAGTATATTAACTTGCATATTACGAATAAATTAAATTAGAACAAAAAATGTTCAGTTTTTATTGCTTTGCCTTTATCAAATACAAGATATGACTATATTCCTACACTTATATATAAAAACAGGTAGTAATAGATATTTAATTACAGGGATAGGGTTATAAATTTAAATTCAACAACGGAGACGCATTTACATCCAATTGGTCATTAAGTAATAAATCCGAATGTCTCATTTTGTTAATCTCCATAGCTTCCAACAAATTTAGTTTTTTGCTTTTTGAATGATTATGTAAAATATCAGAATTATCGTCAAAGTGCATTCCTGAATTTAAATGAATGGCATAGTTTGAATCCGAACTATTATTTTTATACGCCCTTTGATGTTCGCTTATGCATTTCTTAAATGTTCTTCCTGTTTGTCCCATATAAATTTTGGGACAAGATCAAGATCATCGTTCAACTTGTAGACTCCGGATTTTTGAGTTTTTCGTAATTTAGTTTTATTGTTTTTTAGAAAATGTCCTATTGTGTTTTCAATTTTAAAAGCAATATTAATACCAAATTTAGGTGGATGTTTCGAAAATTTCTTTTTCGGTATTTAATATGGGATAGATAAACTGAAACTGCTTTTTAGTTATAATCTTATCTATCAAAGAGGGTTGGTAAATATTGTTAAAAGGTATTTGTTTTATAATATTTAATTCCTTTTTAAAATTTTCTGTAGAAAGTGGTATGGTCTGTTCATAGATATTAGAAAGTCACCAAGACTGGTCATTAACATACAATGCAACAAGATTATTACCTTGATCATAAAATTAATTAATTAATAATTACCTTAATTAATAATAATAATCTTGTTGCATTGTATGTTAATGACCACCCTTGGATAATCCGTTCAGAAACCATTGGTCACTTTCTTATATCTATGAACAGACCATACATTAAGTAGAGAAATCATTTACTCAGAGGTTATTTATGTATGATATTTTCTAAATTGTCCATGAAAACTTCTGGAAGTATGTTGTATTTGATAAAGGCACGGTGTTGCCGACACAGCTGCCATAAAATATTAAAAACTGTGAAAATTTGAAGTCCGATGAATAAAATAATTTCTTCAATTCTTTGAACCGCCATATTACGCAAACGACAATACTTACGAAACAAAGTGTAGAAACGTTTTTTGTAGAGCATCGTGTGCTCTACAATTTTTGTGTGAACTATTTTTGCTGTAAAACTCACCGTTTAGCTGAAAAATGCGAAAATACTATTTTCGCAATCTTTCACCGTGATGATCCACGTTGCCGATATTTCGCAGGTGGCGGCGTTCGCTGTGTGCAACCTGCCGATCCACGCGCGCAAGATGTGGCAATACTGGTCGAGCAATTACCACGGTGGCACGAATTTCAGTGCCATTTTAACCCCTCTGACGTTTCTAGCGTCTTACTTTAATTCCGGAGCGAACCCCCTGCTATACGCGTTCCTGTCGAAAAATTTCAGAAGGTGAGGGCTTATACTCGAACCAAAAATATAGTGCTTTTACAACCGACTCCGTGATTAACTTTGTCTACTGTTTATTACTCCAAAATTGTACACATTCAAAACAATTTGTTTAGCATCTGAAGACAAATTGATCTTTTTTTTTATTTGCTGAGGTAGTTCGTCTTCTAAATTGTGATTGTGACTTCTTGGTCTTCTAAGGTCTTGTCCTCTTTTGATCTGCTTCATTCCACGGTCTCCACATTTTAAAGTGCTGAAAAACAGGGACCATCAAAAAATGTTGAATTGTACGATTCTAATAAATATTTATCTGTATTCTTATAATGTACCTTTATCTACCGCGGATATAATCTATAGTCCTACAAAATACTGTTGTTGTTTACAAATCGAAGAACTATGTGGAAGACACAAAAATACAAGAACAAGAATGTTGTTAATCGGCAGGCACACAAGATAAATAGAGATAAACAGAGTACAGGTACTTACCCTTACTCTTTGAATTATCCAGTGAAAACAGCCTCGTAGGGTCAAATCTCGAGAATCAGGTACATAAATACGTACTTACTGGAAGGATCAGTCAGATAGAGTCTCTTTGTAGATATAAGAAAGTGACTAACTGATACGAATAAAGGAAAGAACCCGGCAAGCTGTAAGAATAAAATATGGCCGAACACATACGTACTTTGCTTAGAATTTAATTTAATTTAAGTTTTGTTAGGAAAGATACTAAACAATATTTATGTTTAAATCTAAAATGAAATTACAAATTATTTTTATCACCTACTTAAATTACTTAAAATTGGAGTTAACATGGGCAAAACATGTTCAATGTGATTAAATATACAGTGGTAAGGTGGAAACCTTAAAACTGTATGCCCTAGATATTCCAGTCGCCATTTCCGAATTCTAAAAGACTGCCTTTTGCCAATTTTTTTAAATCTAAAACCCATGTGTTGAATACACTTGCACAAGGTGCCACATTAACACCGGCTTCATCTTTTTCAAGCCTCCTAATTAAGACATCTAATGTAGGCACGCTTTGTTCCTCGTATAACGGGTAAATTTTACGCCGTATTATATCTCGATCACTTTCATCAACACTCGAGGAAATGTCATCATCGCTTCGTTTTTTCCTCGCTGAAATGGGATTATTCACAATTCTCCATACAGTTGATGTTGGAATTTTCGTCAATGTGGCCGTTTCTTCTAAAGTTGCTTGTTTGCCGGCACCACGTTCAATGAGAGTCAAATAAACATTGTTTATAACTTCCTTAGTCTCAATGTTTTCTGCATTTGGGCGGGAGCATCTCCTGAGATACACTAGACTCGCACATATTTTGCATAAAGAATATTAAACACAGGTAGGTATAACATTATTTTCTATTACGGACCACAATTTTACCTGAATTTAAATTCCGAAATATAAATAAATAATAAATATAACAATATAAAGATAATAATAATAATAATAAAAAGCAATTGGTCACTTTCTTATATCTATGAACAGACCATACCTACGTAATATATACGAGCATATTGCAATTTAGATTAAACTCTTAAACGCTTTTAATTATTCGAAAATACTCCGCAGCATCAGTGCTAAATCAAATTTAATCGAATAAAAGTTGCAAGCTTCTACAAATATTCGTTACGGTCCATCTCATAGAAGACCTACTCAATGCTGTGGGTTTAACCACGGTCCTGTGAGGGCCTGCGGTTAAGGCGCTGTAAAATACTACAATGCAATACAATAAATGCACTATATTTTTGGTCGTATTATACTATCTTATTTACCGACAAATTTTAAGCTCGACACATTTCAGGGGAATGCGGGAAATGTTATTCTGTCCCCTTACGAGGAATAATCGCGGTTTATCAATGTCCGTGCGACAGCAGCGAAGCGTACGGAACACCGCAGGCGTGTTTCATAGGCAATCGAGCACAAGGTCTACGATGAAAGGTCAAAATGCGACTACTGTAACGGTGGTGCACGAGTGCAGCTCGGACGAACTGTGAGACAGGGGCGGCTCGTGCTTATAGTGGAACGGGATCAAGTGGTGTGACGCTTGTTGACAATTTTTAATGAAACAATCCACCGAACCCACATTTTTGTAACTTGAAGTTACGTTTTCATGTTCATAACGTGCTTAGTGTAAAATAAAGCGTTGAACGTTCTACGGAGTCGATGATATTGAGCGTTCCGATCCCCAAGAGTCACCAGACGTTGTATTTAATATCGTTAGTGTGTAAATTAAAATAGAAGTTTTCCAGACACTCTTAAACTTAATATTAATCTAATAATAACAATAACGGTAATAATACATTTATTTGCATCTTCAAAAGTAACGAAACATAATATCACATCACAGAGGAGAGTTTTTTGATGAGTACATTAAAAAGTTTAATTTTAAGGTTAATTTTTGTTTTAAATAATACTAAACTATTTTTCACTAAACAGTTAGTTGGAATTATGCACAAATCGTCAGATATTACGCATAATATTTGATATACGAGGTGTGTTCAAAAAGCCAATCGAGATGCCGACTTCTTCAGTCACTTCTCCAATAGTGACTCAGCGACCAGAGCGAGGTTCGTCATCGGCCATCTTGGGACAGCTTCTATCACTTATAAACATTTTTTTTGCTCAAAATGGATTCACCACATGCCGTTGTCAATACTTCGAGTGTTTTACATCACTGTATTCCATTTTTTACACAAAATTTTATGCAAATTCTTTGTTGCTTTTTTTTGAACAGCAGAAACTCGCCGAGCACACAAAACACGTGTAATGCTTCTGTCTCACAAAAACGCCCACAGAATATAACAAAATAAAAATATCGAATATCGAATGTATGTAGTCCGATCAATTACAAAAGTCACATTACTTTTTCAGCACACCTCGTATTCCGTTGCTATTGGTAACATATAAAAGTTTTACAAGATTTGTTTTTATCTATTTTGTTATTTCGCATATTTCCTAGCCAGTAGAAGAGTTCAATTTCTGTGCATTCGTAGGCATGTAAATGTAAATCATTTAAAATTTTGCAATGATCGTCCGACGTATTACAGGTTGGTAAAGTGTTCAAAAATGAAATATTTTGTTTAATATCATGATCGAGAGGTTGTCGAAGCAGCTGTCCTAAACCAATAAATAAATGTGAACAAAAAAACAAAATAAGCCCATATTTATACAACCTTTACTGCGGACATTGGATACATATTCGACACACTACGTCAAAACAAAACCGGCATTATATCAATCATCCCCGAGACCAAAGGGAATTCAGTGCCGAACGAAATAATAGGTCAGGGGATTACATGGGATTTGGAACCCCGGCTGTTTTCTCCGTTAATGTTGTGGGCGTTTTGATATCTTTCGTAAGTGCAGAGGAGAACCTACTATGCACATTGATAGTTAGTAGCATGAGAATGTTATACATATAATAAATATTTAGTTATTGCTTCTTCAATTTGTGTAGTTCTTAAAGTCCTTTAAACTGATTGAATTCACACGTCTACAGTGATTTTGATGTTTGAAATGCGTTTATCTGTACATTTGTATATTTTGGAGGCCCTGTTTCCAAAAAACGCCATATTTTTGCTCTAACGCAATTCAATTGTTTGTCCGTTCCAACAAAGCAAGCAAAGATATCATCCACGTATCTATACCACCACACGAAACTTTTAAAATATCGTACCAGAACATCCTTTCTATGGTGGTGTAGATACGTGGATGATGTGTTTGCTTGCTTTGTTGGAACGGACAGACAATTGAATTCTTTTTTAAATTGCATTTACTCATTACGTAATAGTATAAAATTCACTATCGAAATTGAACAGGATAACAATATTAATTTTTTAGACTTAACTATTACGAAAGCGCAAAACAAATTATCATAAACCTTCACACACGGACACAGTCATACATAACAGCTCAAATCACCCTTATACACGCAAAATGGCCGCATTTCATTCTTTTATACACAGACTTCTTGATACGTCACTCTCAGCAGAATATTAAACAAAGAACTTAATATCATTAACCAAATTGCACTGAAGAACGGCTACAATTCGTCCATTATAGATAAAATTATAAATAAAAAACAAATCCAGACAACAGTAAACTCCATTTCTCCGAAACCTAATACAGGACACGAACGATTTAAAACAATTACACACATAGGAGAACCCAGTAACAAAGTTTCAAAACATTTGTCAAAATGTGGTTTTAAAATAATAACTAACAACACAATAGGAAAATTTTTAAAAAAACAATAAAACGAAATGTCCAAAATCTCAAAAATCAGGTGTCTACAGGTTGAAATGCGGATCTTGTCCTAAAATTTATATTGGACAAACAGAAACGCATTAACGAACATAAAAGAGCATTTAAAAACAATAGTCTAGATTATAATTATGCCACAAACTTAAAAACAGAAAAACACATTTTTGACGACAATTTTGATAATTTACATATAGCTATAAAAAGTAGAAAATTAAATTTATTGGAAGTCATGGAGATTAACAAAATGAGACATTCAAATGAATTGCTTAACGATCAATTAGATTTAAATACCTCTCATTTATTGAACTTAAATTCTCACAACAATATTAATTAAGGTTTTAGGGTTACTTTTCGGTATATACAGGGTGCGGCAGCATAACTTCCTTTTTTTAAATGCGCGCCATTCAGTTAGTTGATGTCATAGTGGGGCGCTAGTGGTCTCGTTCAAGAGGGGGTACTGTAAAGTTTTGTCCCGACACGGTTCAGTCGCCATCATGCGTTGGAATAGTGAGGAGCGTGCCTTTGCCGTTGAGGCCTACTTTTCAAGCGGTTGTGCGGTTGTTGCAACACAGCTTGCATTTCGGAATCGCTTTAATTTAGCCCCGTTGGCTCCCGTCCCAGACCGCAAATCAATTGTTACATGGGTCACTACATTCAGACAAACTGCAAGTGCGACAAAACGAAGAACTGGAGTCCCTCGGCCCGTTAGATCACCTGAGAACATTGAAGCAGTGAGAGCTTCAATGTTGCGATCACCACGGCGTTCTGCGCGCAAACACGCATCTGCCCTTGGACTATCCGATCGTTCTGTGAGAAGAATTCTTCGTGATGATCTTCATTTTCATCCCTATAAGATGGCGATAGTGCAGGAACTTACAGAACGTGACTTCAATTCTCGGATGAACGCGTGTGAGCTTCTTCTTGATGTCGTTCCCGAGGGTGCTATTGTTTTTTTTAGCGATGAAGCCCATTTTCATTTATGTGGGTCGGTTAACAAACAAAACATGCGCTACTGGGCTGACACCAACCCTCGACAATTGCATCAAAGGCCTTTGCATTCACCCAAAATCACAGTGTGGTGTGCAATTTCCTCAGCTGGAATTATTGGTCCCTGGTTTTTTGAGGAAAATGAGGTTACAGTGACAGTGAATTCGGACCGGTATGTAAACATGCTACAGAATTTTTTTTTTCCCACGGCTAGAAGAGTTGGATTTGGGGGACACTTGGTTCCAACAAGACGGTGCAACAGCACACATTTCAAGAGCATCGATGGCTGTTTTGAGGGAACACTTTCCAGAGCGCCTTATCTCAATTAGAGGCGATTTGGAATGGCCGGCACGCTCTCCCGATCTGTCCCCTTGTGATTTTTTTCTATGGGGTTTTTTGAAATCCCTGGCTTATGTGAACCGTCCAAGAACCCTACAAGATTTGAAGACCAACATCGAAGAAGAAATTGCCAACATAACACCAGCTATGCTAACAAGAGTCATGACAAACGCCAGATATCGGTTTACGCAATGTATGGAGAATGAGGGACGTCACCTAACAGATTTTATCTTCAAAACAATGTAAATAAAAACTTTAGACATGTACCTACATTATAAAAAATAAATAAAGATTTTCCGATGCACACAATAGTTTTTATTGAGTTTTGAAAAAAGGAAGTTATGCTGCCGCACCCTGTATATAGTAGCAGGTAGTTTTTAAATATTACATTTGATAAAGACACGGTGTTGTCGAAACAATTGCCATGGAAAAATATATAATTTCGTGAACTTTTAGTTCTTATTTATTTTGATAAATGGATTTTCATCAAGTAAAAGCCACCTCAGTTCAACTCTTAAATGAATTTTGGTTCCACCAGTTCGTCTTCCAGATGGAGGCATTTTGCATAACAAATGACTAAAGTTATCGAATTAAGGTAGATAAAAAATTCAAAGCTGTATTGTGTATTTGGTACATTTTCTTCCCTTCGGTGACCTTTATGCGGACCATTAAGTTTAAAAATAGCCCGGGATGTGTAATTTATTCAACGACACCCGCTCCCACGTGAAACGCTATCAATTTCTAACAATGAATGAATATTTTACGAAAGATTACGTTGTTTTGTTAAATATTTAAGTGAGCTATCTGTGTCCGTCTCAAAAATAACGTCACCCCGTTAGTTGTTAACGTATTTTCACGGAATTTTTTAGATTCGCTTCAAGTTTTCCGTTACATTGTTGCCAAGTCTCAATTTCCTCTGAAAATGGCAAACAAAAAACACGTTTTTCAATACGAATGTCAAAAATAGGTGCGGGAACTTAAAAACTTTTCGCAACAGAAGGTTCTACGTCGATTTGTTTGTATTTTAGAGCGTTCCGTTTGCAATAGAACAAAATGTAAGCTAGTTTTTTTAATATTCAGATTCAAACTTCAATTTGCCTTGATAAAACTTTAATTGGCTGTAAAGTCTTTTGTTTTAGATATATTTAAACAAAACACAAGATCAAGATGTAGGGCCATGTTTTTTTTCCAAGTGATGTATAAAACAAAACACTATCAATTTTCTGACATATAAGCTTACATCATATTTTAATATATTATACAGGTGTTTAATACAATATCTTATTCCGTTTGCAATGATGTAACACACTTTATATTTTAGTCCATTAGTTTTTGACAAATAATATCAAGGAGTGTCGCAACTGACTGCAACATCAATAATTATTTACAAATTAAAGTAGAACAAAAACACTAAAAATGACAAGACACACTAAACAAGGAGTTCACACAAAAAAAAGGAGTTCTGTGCACGTCACATTTTATGGGTTCCCGAAAGAAAAAATCCATTAAAAATAAGTCGGGGCTGTTGGCTGGGCATTCCATACATCCGCCGATCCCTATCGAATCGGATATTCCGTGTTAAGAAAATTTTTAACTTGCAGAGTTGCACCGTCTTGTTGCCATATAATCAGCGCTGATATATTCAGGGGTAAAATGTATATTGTTCTATTTGGGGCTCCAAGAGGTTCAAATAATGATCTCCAGTTAACTTTTGATCTATAAATATAGGACCCACCTATGCACCCACCACACTATACATTAATTGATTGGTACCCGTGGGTTTTTAATTCGTGTATTTGTCTCGAATTATTTAAAGACAATTGTCTTTGTCTTGTAGTGAACGAACTTTCATCAGTCGTGTCGATTAAAAAAATTCAAACAAAACTGCTTAAGCATTGTTTAGCACTTAATTTGAATTTTACGAAATTTAAATGCATATTTATATTTTTCCAAAACTGAGTAGATTGACCCCCATATACTCTAGTAATAGAACAAACTGGATGTGGTTCATAGAATCCTAATATGTTTGCCTTATTGTCTTCATTTAAAGCATTATGATTCCGGTATACCTTTTTAGCATTTAATACAGAAAGTATACTTGAAGCATGTAAAAAAAACCATCAACGTTGTTTACTAATGTGTCAAACATAAACATATTTTTATTTATCAGCCAGCGCACTCCTTGAAATTATACATAAAGTGTGTTACATCATTGTAATCGGAATAAGATATTCTAATAAACACATTTATAATATATAATAAGATTTTCTATTAAACACATTTATAATATACAGGGTGCTCCGTTTAAGAAATATGATGTATTCTTATATGTCAGAAAATTGATAGTGTTTTGTTTTATACCTCACTTGGCTAATAATTTTACATTCCATTTTTTGATGAATTGAACGCACTTATTCCAAATTTACTGTCAATCAATCAATCAATGATTGTGTAGTATTCCGTTTGTAAAGGGTTGGGGGAAGGTGGTTGTAAATCACCCTCAAAACTTAAACGAGAAAACGGTAGGACATACAACGCCCGAAACGGTTAATCACCCACCATTGATGGTTTCCCGCGTCGTCGTCTGCCCGGTTGGGTCTTCTTAGGGGTATTTTCTGGAGGGTTGGGGGTGGTAAGGACCACAACACAGCGCGGGGTTCTCGCGAAACGGTCACAGAAGAGAGCTTGTTTTTTCGTGGATCGCACTACGGACGCTCACGCAAGTCTGTCTTTTCTCGCGGATTAACCAAGGTTGGGTATGGTGGGGGTGTTGTATACACAGCGCGAATATAAAAGGTCCACTCAATGGAAAAAAATTATAAAGTTACCGAAAAATGTTATTCAACCCTTAACACCATTTAGTAACTTTCTCCACAATAGAGACGATTTTATGTCCAAAAGTTCAATTTTTTGATAAATAAGACCGCTTTTTGTTCCGAATTATTATTCTCGTCAGTTGTTGGCGACTAATGCGTTTGGCTCACTTATTGGGCCATTTATTTGTAACGGATTAAATGGATAAAACTACATGGGAGGCGAAAATCGATTTATTCGTTACGAGTTTAAACTCCGGTGCGGGTCCTGATCCAGTTCCTGTAGACGGGAACGCTTCCGTAAACTCCCGGCAGTCCGGCTCTGGCACATCCGGCACCGAAGTTTACCACGCCTGCCAACCTTCCGTTGATCACCGCCGGTCCGCCGGAGTCACCTTGGCAGGAGTCCCTGCCTCCTGCTGAATATCCTGCGCACCACATCCTGTTGTTTACGGTGGACCCGTATATAAGCCGGCAGCTTAAGTGATTTACCACCGGTACCTGGGAATAATTAATATGTTACAAGTTACTGGGTACTAACCAGCAGGTAAGTACCATTTGCTACATAAAATATCAAATTAATTTTCAAGTGACTGTATGTTTTATGCTCTGTGTTTAGGATATAGAAAAATTTATTAGGATGATTGTCGATGTAGCACAATAAACTAGCACAATTATTTAGTCAAATTTACTGCAACTATGAAAATTTGCAAGGCAATCGGATATAACGATCAGTGACCCTCCCCAGTTTAAACTAGTCTAGTCGTAGCACAGTCCATAGGATAATTTAAAGGGTATTTTTTGATTATAATTTTTGAATTTCAAAGGTTGCATATGATCATATTTTTTTTTGTTTTTTGATACTTTTACTTAATTTTTTCTATATCCCGATATCGCTTTCGTGGGAGTGGGAAGGTGTCATGTCGCTTGTTCAAAAGCCTTATCTTCTTTACTGCATGCACCTCTCACAAAGTAATTTTGAGCTTAGGCTTGCGCAATACTATCAACAACTGCATGGTAGACAAACTACAAACTACTTGTTAGTTGGGCTTTGTGCCTATTAAATAAATTACTTTTTACTGGTGAGTATTTTTGTTTCTTCTTCTTTTCTCTTCCCATGTTGCAGGTACTGCAGTAGAATAGCTATCGAAAGCTATCTGGTTAGTTGTGCTGTTTCTTTTTTTTAAATAATGTTATCATTGTTATTATTAGGTTCGTTGGTTACGGTTAAGACGAAGAAGCTACCTGTACAGCCTGTAGCGTCAGCGAACCTTGGTTGGAGCCTTCAAAGAGGTCTCCCCATCCTGAAAGTGTGACGACCTCGCCTGCAGAATAGCTTCTGGTTTCCGGATCTAACGCGATAGGAGCGGCGTCGGGACTTGTAACCGCGGTCGCGAGATAAATGAGTGCCATGTCGTAGTCGAACTCGTTTTCTACGTAATTCTCGTGCAATATGTAGGCTGAGGCGGCGATCCTTTCTCCGCCGCTGTTGTGCACGGTCGAACCGACCCTTACGTTCACTTGAGTTACGCTGGTGATGCCTGCGTTCCTGTCCAGGCAATGAGCCGCCGTTAGGACCCATCTGCTCGAGATCAGGGTGCCTCCGCAGATCTGACCTCCGTTACGCAGGATGGCCACCTGGTACGGGAAGTTTCGGATATCGACCGGAACCCCACCTACAATTCTACCGCCTGCGGTGGTCACGTTGGAACGGTAGAGTTTCCCTTCTATGCCGGACTCGGCTGAAATCACACGTAATAATTCAATCTTAGTCAGTCAATTCAACCTAAGAAAATCGAATCATGTATGTTCATATATATAATAAAGTCACTAACTGATAGGAATTAAGGAAAGACCCGGGCAAGCTGTAAGAATGAAATATGACCGAACAGGTCCGTACTTTGCTTAGAATTTAATTATTTGGGGTTTTGTTAGGAAAGATACTAAACAATATATATTTATTTATGTATGTATTTATGTTTAAATCTAAAATAAAATTACAAATTATTTTTATTAGCTAATTAAATTACTTAAAATTATTCACATAATATGTCAGTATCATTATCGCTATCATCGCCTGTTCTAATTATTATTTGCAATATGGATATACGATTGTTCTGCTTTTTCTATATGTTTAACAGAATTTGTGGAGGGATATTAAAAAACCTCAATTAATTGCTTCTTGGTATAATCTTCGTGAAAATAACTGTCGTTATTATATATGCAGTTTTGGATTGTTGCTTTTGGTCACACGACGAACGGGTTTTAGTCAACTGTCCACTGTGATAACTTGGTTTGTTGCAATGTTTGGAACCAGTTTGGTTTTAAACCAACTTTCAAATAAATCAGCGGTGGTGTCTTCATGGTAATCCAGAGAAGAATCTTTAATTTTTTCGCAGACAGAGAAAGTCCATTTGGAATCCAACCATCTTTTGCGCCAGCATGCAAAATAGGTATTCTTTTACCTCTTTTTGATGGCGCGTTTGTTTTACGCTTATCAGTTGAGTCCACCCAACCCTTTTCCGGGGTATCATAAGTGTCGAACCAGGTTTCATCCAAATAAATATTTCGCCTTTGTTGTTCTCTGTAAATCCTATTTTTTTCTAGATATTCCAGTCGCCATTTCCAAATTCTAAAAGATAGGCACGCTTTGCTCCTCGTATAACTGGTAAATTTTAGGAAGTATTATATCTTGATCACTTTCATCTACACTCGAGAAAATGTCATCGCTTCTTTTTTTTCCTCGCTGAAATGGGATTATTCACAATTTTCCACCGTTGATGTTGGAATTTTCGTCAATGTAGGCTGTTTCTTCTAAAGATGCTTGCTTGCTGGCAGCACGTTCAATGAGAGTCAAATAAACATTGTTTATAACTTCCTTAGTCTCAATAGAATAGTGTTTTCTACACTAGACTCGCACACATTTTGCATAATTCGCACACGATTTAACACACGCTGTATTACACACAAAATGAGAATGATTACTAATAAACTTAAACTAAGTAGTATACTAAACCAAAGAATATTAAACACAGGTAGGTATAAGATTATTTTCTATTACGGACCACAATTTTACCTGAATTTAAATTCCGAAACTTTAGGTAATAATCTTGTTGCATTGGATGTTAATGACCACCCTTGGATAATCCCATTCAAAAGCAATTGGTCACTTTCTTATATATATGAACAGACCATATACAAAATATTGATCAAAATGTCTGGTAATTCTATTTATATCTGCCAGATTGAGTGGCAAATTTGGATTAGAGGAGTTTTAGGGTTTTCTATCTTGAAATTAACTAAAGGCAAGCTCGTTTTTCAAATCTTACAGCAGATACCATATGATAATTTTCTTTTCTGTTTTGCTTTTCATTCTATATTTAAAGTGCTATTTGCTCATGTTTCATGAAAAATTTATCCAGCAATATAGCTTGAACACCATGGAAAAAAATAATGAGAAGGGTAGTGCAATATGCATTTTAAATCTGGAATAAAATTGGTATTTAAAAAACAGCAGCGGCATTCACAGCTTATGTTGAATCCCGTTTTAACCAATAATATGCTTAATATTCAGTAAAAAACGACTTAAGTGTATGGAGATCGTTCTTTAGAAAGGAAACATAGGGCCAGTATTATCTAAGCACTTTCCAGAGGCATAGCAGAATATTTGCTGATCAAGCGGTTTGCTAAATTGCTAAATGTGCGATATTTTCAGCCAAACCCGGCTTCTTTTGTAAACTGTGCACAAGTTAGTAAAATAATGTTAAAAGCACTCACCAAAACTCAAACCCAACAGTGAAAATATCACTAATATCGGCTTCATTGTGGCGAAGGTGCTGGACATAATGTACTCGCCAAATGTGCATTGAAATTTATATATCTAATCATTATCTAATTGAATCGCTACCGGAAACATTGTCATAAATCTTTTATCTGACTTTTTAGATTGAAACTTGATCTTTTAAGATCCAGAAAGTTGTTTTTAATTCTCTATCGTGTCGTTTTAAAAATATCGCGGTTTGATTATTTCGAAGCAAACAGATATCTAATCCACTTTTCGACGTTCGAGCGGAAGTTGGTGATTAGAAAATTTATCTCGGCGGAGTGGGCGAAGCTTTTCAGGGAAAAGCTTATCGACTTTCCGAATGGCACCAATAGGTGCCAACTTGGAAAGGGCAAAGGGCTGGAAGCTTGAAGAAATTAGAATAACAAAAAAACAGATTTGGGAGAGTATGACGTGTCAATTAGAACAAAGATTTAAAAACAAACCTGGGAGGCTCTAAAGAATTTTAATATTAACTCAAAAAAAGACACTACTCTTCCAAATAACTTGAATGACCCTGAAGAAATTAATACGTTCTTTTCGCAGATAGTTCAAAATAAATCAAACTGTAATGGTAAAATACAATATTAACAAGGCAATTGTTCTAATTGTCGCGTCACCAAAACTACCCGTTTCAGCAACCCTTTAATTCAGTAAACTCACCAAATTAGTAAAAACAACCGGTAACGTAAAAAAGTATGTACAATAACAAAGGCAGATAATTAGTGATAAGTTTTAAATTCAACAAGCAAAGCCTCGAATTCGTAAAAAGGAACCCGTCGGAGAAATTGGCTTTCGATGCCTGCCGAATCCTTAACGATACTAAAGTCCTAAAATTCAGTTTTCTAAAAAGTAACACACATCTGTTTAACTCAATACCTACTTCAAAAGCCACTTAAACCATACTCTTAAGAGGAACCCTTGTCTTCGGTCATAAAGAATAAGTGTTCGCCAGGCCGATCGTGACCATCAGTAAAATCATAAACTTCGACGTTTGAATAGGATTGAGAAAAAACACGTGCACCTTAAACTGAAATTCCCCTTATTCTAAAAAATACCACAAAATTGTTCCCTATAAATATTTACTGGCTCTAACACTAATTAAACACTACACTTTTCTTTTGAATTAACAAATCTTGCCGATGTTCATAAATATATTCATGAAATTAAAACAAATGCCGCTGGGGTTGACGAAATCTTATTTTTTTATTTCCACTGACTTCTAACAAAAGTATCGGATAATGTCAACAAGTAAAAAAAAACATTAGAACACTAAAATACAAACAGATATAAACACACAGAGTATATCACACTGAGACATCGGCATTACTTAAAATGGAACAAAGATGAGCTCTTCATTTCAACATATTCCTTATGAAAATTATCCATAACCTCGATTCACCCACTATCCATTCTGTGAATGTAAGATACATGTACGATGCCACATCAGATCGTTTGTTTCGTAGACCTTTCACATTCAACGCAATTCGTGTTTATAATTCTTTGTCACAGGAATTCAGTAACTTAAATTTATATTCATTTAAAACAAGGTACAAAGATCATTTGTTACAAATATAGTTTTCCTAATAATGTGTTGCTAATTATGTTATTATATCGAGTTATCAAACTCTTCATCTTCAATTGCATTTTCTGTAGTGTGTAGCAGTTATGTTGTTCTTCTGATTTTGCAGGTATTTTTCATATTTTGTTTGTGGTTCATCCATTTTTTATTTCAATAAATAGTGCGAAATTTATTCATTATATAAATAGTTCTTTAGCGGTTCAGTAGAGTAGCTATTTAAAGCTAGACTGCGCCGCTTTTGAGCTATCTGTTTATTTTTCTTTGAAAAATATTAATATTGTATATTGTCTTTTTTTGTTATAATAAAGGCTATTTACTATTATTATCAGCAAAAATGGCTAGCAACAGTGCAAAATTGAGTATTTTAGAAGTAATTGACACTTTAGAGGCTCGTTTATTAAACTACGCTACGCTCGTGCCCAATCACACTCATGACTAAAGTGACATTTATAAAAACTCGATCAGAGTGTCTCTTTTTTTCGTAGCTCTTTCAGGTTTTAACACGTTTCTTAAAACGTGTAGAAAAATGTATACAAATTTAATATATCCGCAGTGGCAAACTTGTTATTAGGTCAGCGTACTGAAAATCAGCATTTAATGTCCGCAAGGCCACGACAAAAACGGTTTGAAATTGGAAGGCCCAGAAATCCTTGAGTATAGTGAGATAAAAAGATAGTGCTCTATGCTCATAACTTCCTCAAAGATCTCCCGATTTAGATTTGTTGTCTTTGGATAAACACCAAATGAAGTGTGCAAAACACGACATGGCAACATAGCAGAACTTTTTGAAATAAATGATTTAGCTCTTCGAAAGCTGTGAATGGGAACAATGATTTCTTTCAACCCTGGGCAACGTTTTATAAAAATGTGCGAATTTTACATTAGGGAACATGGAAAATTTGCTTTTTGCCGCTGTTGATTCTAAAAGAACCTGAAAATAGTTCTTTTCTGTAATAAATTATTAACCGTAGATGAAAATTCATATACAATTTTTTTTACTATACACTGCTCGAGATATTTGAAAAAATCCATATGAAAATCACCATTGCTCGGGCTCCGTCTAGACGATTATCTTATTTTGAAAATAAAAACGCATTAAATGCTAGGCCGTTATTCCGAATCCAATTTGCTTTTAAAAATCTTTTATTTACAATCTAGTTGAATATTTTTCGTTTCTCATTGTCAAACGCAGCTCAATTAAAAATTATCCAATCGGAGGTCGTCGTTTCAGATGCAGATGGCGCTGCAGTAGTTGTAACGTTATCATCAACAGAATAGGTGGCAGCGCCGGATACCTCGATAGCGATCTTGACTTTCGCGCTGACTGTATAAAGGGTCACGCTATTTCCCGTGACAACGTTCCAGCTCCCCGAATGTTTCGTTTTGAACACTTGACTCCAATATTGGGCGACTTGCGACGGATCGTCGGAAATGGCGTATACTTCTTTCAACGCGTCCAGCGCGTCTACCGAATAGAGCACATTGGGAGCCGTAAATTCCTTCACCGCAAACTGCGATTTAAAAACCAACAATTACTCAAATCGAACCGATTAACGGCGATCCAGAATATGGCTAGAATTTTTCCATAATATAGATGGTTTTTTTAGCCTTATAATTATCGAATTATAAGGTTGTTCGGAAAGTCATTTCGTTTTTTCCCGTCAGAGGACTTAATTACATTTTTTCGAAACCAACTTCGCACTTAAGCCGCATAACCATTATATGCCTTGAGAGCTGATATTGCAAGGCTTGTGTGTGAAAAAGTTCTATTAATTCTACGTAGTAGTTTTTGGTTGGTGCCCTTTTAAATATGGAGAGCAATAAGCAGCATTTTCGTCATATTTTATTTTTTACTTCAGAAAAGGTAAAAATGCTGTCCAAACGAGAAAAAAATTGACGGATGTGTATGGAGAAGGCGTGTTAACAGTACGCCAGTGCCAGAACTGGTTTGCAAAATTTCGATCCGGCAATTTTGATGTCGAAGATGCACCACGGTCTGGAAGGCCGTTCGAAGCTGACAAAGATGCGATAAAGGCATTAGTTGATGCATATCGGCGAATAACCACACGAGAGATCGGTGAGAGATTAAATTTGTCGAATTCGGCTGTTTATGGCCATTTGAAAGGCATGGGCTTGACCTCGAAGCTCGATGTGTGGGTGCCCCATGTCCTTACAGAGCGAAATTTGTGTCGTCGCGTTGACGTGTGTGATTCGCTCCTCAAACGTCAAGAAAATGATCCATTTTTGAAGCGGATTATTACCGGGGACGAAAAATGGGTTGTATACAACAATGTTAAACGCAAGAGGTCATGGAGCAGAAAAGATGAACCGGCTCAAAGCGTGTCAAAAGCCAACATTCACCAAAAAAAGGTGATGCTCTCCGTTTGGTGGGATGTCAAAGGAATCGTTTTTTTTGAGCTTTTGCCGGACAATACAACGATTAATTCAGAAGTCTATTGTCATCAACTGGACAAATTGAATGATTCACTTAAAGAGAAGAGGCCCGAATTAATCAACAAGAAGGGTGTAGTGTTCCACCACGATAATGCGAGACCTCACACAAGTTTGGTCACTCGCCAAAAACTTTTACAGCTTGAATGGGACGTACTGCAACATCCACCATATTCTCCAGATCTGGCGCCTTCCGACTACTATTTGTTCCGGTCCCTGCAAAATTTTCTGGATGGCAAAACCTTTACCTCAAATGAAGATGTCAAAAACCATCTGAACCAGTTTTTTGCCAACAAGGACCAAAACTTTTATGAGAGGGGAATTATGTTACTGCCAGAAAGATGGCAAAAGGTGTTGGACCAGAACGGCCAATATATAATTTAATAAAATATTTATTCATTATACGAAAACTGTCTTTCATGTTCCCCAAAAAAAACGAAATGACTTTCCGAACAACCCAATACAATTTTGTGCTTTCATGAGAAAAATAGGATTTATTTAATTATATTTAATGTTTCGACCTATCTATGGCAGAAATATATTATAAGGGATGATCACCAATGACCATCAAAAAAAGTTTTTTCCTATCACCCTATATTTAGCACTTTTAATGGGTGTGTCATTTTGATACATATAGTTTCTGTCGCAAAAAATTGGTATGTATTTTATTTTAAACCTAACTAACCTTATAATTCTATTCCTAACCTATTCTAACTAAGTTTTTTTAAAAACATTAATTACTCAACTTCAATATAAAATCAACAAATAATTCAAGTAAGAAGTATTAACTATTAATAATAAATAGGTATTAAAGGACGGAACATTAGGACTCTCAAATATAATAACAAAATTTTCTCTGTTTAAGTGGCTATAATCTTATTCGCTTAGAAAAAAACTTACACTAAATATAATTTATAGCTAGGAATATCTATACATAATTACATTTTTATTCGAAATGTCCAAATCTAGTTCTGTTTCACCATGCAGAATCGTCATTCACATTAATTACAATAGGATTTATGCCGTTTTGTATTGAAATGTGATAGTACTGAGTTTTGCCAGCTCTCAGGCAATAAATATGCAATATACCTGGTCCACCCCTGCCTCACTCAAGTATGCAGTCCCATGAAAAAAGTCTAGGGATGTCAAGTCAGGCATCCTCGCTCTCCAATCCCCACCCTGTAGTTAATGTTCATTTTTCAAAATCTGTTGTCAAAAGGGCTCTCTTTTCCTTCATTCTTTAATTATAAGTTGCCCATGAAAAAATATCCTCGAAAATCAAAACAATATTTTCAATATCTGTAAAAATCTATTCAATTCTGCATGGAAAACTGGTACTAAAATCAATTTCTAAAGAATGAACTTTTTCATATTTCTATTATTTCTTTCAAAAAATTGTCGAGTATGCAGTAAAATTGGTCCAACATGCAAAAAATTACTTTTTAAAAGGATATAAGGATAAATTGGTGCCTTACAATTTATTAAAATTCACCGTGCTAAGTAACCAAAAGGATTTTGTACACTATTATTTGACCTGTTTAAATTGGTAGCTGAGTTTTCTTTTTGGGAAACGATGGTAATGAAAAAACGAAAACAAATAAAGCGCTCGAACTTACACTAGGATCTGAAGTTGCCACTCCCAACAACAAAAGAAGGCAGCAGAATATTGTAGCGGCGGCCATATTGCTTCACTCGTTTCGATTGATTTCAACTGTATGTTTTGCGTTCTCAACTGCTGCACTTTTATAATCGCAATATTATCTAGGTGTTACAGCCAATACTATTCCATCGTAGTCACGAATACATGTTATTTTATCTCGTCTAATATTTTTCGTTTTTTTTTAACGGTATTTCACATTATTAAGTGGAACATTCAATAGCATGAACACATCGTCACAAATATCTATTTTTAGGAATGCCGATATAGTCAGTTGATCAATATCGTCCATTTCGTAGACCACAGTGATAACGACTACAGCATAATATTGGGTTGTTCGGAAAGTCATTTCGTTTTTTTTGGGGAACATGAAAGACAGTTTTCGTATAATGAATAAATATTTTATTAAATTATATATTGGCCGTTCTGGTCCAACACCTTTTGTCATCTTTCTGGCAGTAACATAATTCCCCTCTCATAAAAGTTTTGGTCCTTGCTGGCAAAAAACTGGTTCAGGTGGTTTTTGACATCTTCATTTGAGGTAAAGGTTTTGCCATCCAAAAAATTTTGCAGGGACCGGACCGAATAGTAGTCGGAAGGCGCCAGATCTGGAGAATATGGTGGATGTTGCAGTACGTCCCATTCAAGCTGTAAAAGTTTTTGGCGAGTGACCAAACTTGTGTGAGGTCTCGCATTATCCTGGTGGAACACTACACCTTTCCTGTTGATTAATTCGGGCCTTCGAGGTTAAGCCCATGCCTTTCAAATGGCCATAAACAGTCGAATTCGACAAATTTAATCTCTCACCGATCTCTCGTGTGGTTATTCGCCGATATGCATCAACTAATGCCTTTATCGCATCTTTGTCAGCTTCGACCGGCCTTCCAGACCGTGGTGCATCTTCGACATCAAAATTGCCGGATCGAAATTTTGCAAACCAGTTCTGGCACTGGCGTACTGTTAACACGCCTTCTCCATACACATCCGTCAATTTTTTTCTCGCTTGGACAGCATTTTTACCTTTTCTGAAGTAAAGAAGTAAAATATGACGAAAATGCTGCTTATTGCTCTCCATATTTAAAAGGGCACCAACCAAAAACTACTGCGTAGAATTAATAGAACTTTTTCACACACAGCCTTGCAATATCAGCTCTCAAGACATATAATGGTTATGCGGCTTAAGTGTGAAGTTGGTTTCGAAAAAACGTAATTAAGTCGGGTAAGACGGGAAAAAACGGAATGACTTTCCGAACAACCTTATAACATAATAAGTAAATAACAACAATAAAACAGCTAAACATACAGTTAAAGTTGTCAGTACTTAGAGGTTGTGCTGCTCTCAAATTCATATGAATCATTAAATTATAATCTGTCTGAATTTTGAGTAACAAGGAAGAGGTGGGCCACGTATATTTCTTTCTTTCCAGTATCTATATTTCTGGAGTATTTGTGGCACAGTGTCATATCAATATAATAATAATAATAATAATAATAATAATAAATTGCTTTTATTGCTGTATATTGTTTTATACAAATATACAATAGAGAAGAGGCAAGGTCTAGGAAAAACTGCTCTACGTAACCTCTTAAATGTTTAAATTGAAAATTATTTTTCCCTATTATGACCCTCTATCGGAAAACGAACCAATGGAGTGGCGTCGTAAGGGTGAAGCACCTCCAAGAAAATTCAGAGTCTGCAAGTCAACAAAAAAGGTGATGACCACGATCTTTTGGAATTGTGAAGCAATTTTTTAAAAAGATTTTAAAGAAACTAATACCACTGTCAATGGTAAATATTACGCAACATTATTACATAAATTGCGAGACTGGATACGTATAAAACGTCGAGGAAAACTGACCAGAGGCGTGCGTCTTTTGCGCGATAATGCACCTATCGATACTGCGTGTGTTGCACAAGCTGCCATTTTAGAGTGTGGGTTCCAACAGATAGATCATCCTCCCTATAGTGGACGGCGGTTTAACGACGAAGTTGACTTAAAAGAGGCTGTTTATTAATTAGAATAACCATTTTTTATGGTCATCTATGACCACCCTGTATAATATATCTCCGACATACTTACGTCGAAGCATTAAATGAGTCCATGCAAAAAGTTCGCAGTTTTAGTTATTAAAAGTAAAAAAGGGCATTTTTCCAAAGATCTGTTTTTCGCTGTAGTCAGTATGAATTAATTTTTTTTAGTTTTCTGCATTCACTATTTTTAATAAGTTAAGTTGAATAAAGAATTCACCATTAACTTTAAAATGTCGGAGAGTTTCTGAAAAATTAACTTTAGATCAGTATTGTATTTGAGTTAAGTAATCTTGTTTAACAACTTAATAAATAAAGATAACTGATTGAACTGATAGGTGGTTTATACTTATACCGTGTCTTTATCCAATGGTATATTTGCAAACTACCTGCTATTATATATACCGAAAAATGACAATAAAAACTTAATTAATGCTTTGAGAATTTAAGTTTAATAATGGAGAAGTATTTGAATCTAATTGATCGTTAAGCAATACATTTGATTGTCTAATTTTATAATAATATCAAAATTGTCATCAAAAATGTGTTTTTCTGTCTTTAAGTGTGTAGCATAATTAGAATCTAGATTATTGTTTTTAAACGCTCTGTTATGTTCGTCAATGCGTTTCTTGAAGGATCTACCTGTTTGTCCAATATAAATTTTAGAACAAGACCCGCATTTCAACCTGTAAACACCTGATTTTTGAGATTTTGGACACTTTTTTGTTTTTTTTTTTTTAATTTTCCTATTCTGTTGTTTGTTGTGAAAGCTATTTTAAACTACATTTTGACAAATGTCTCGAAACTTTTTCACTGGGTTCTCCTATGTATGTGATTGTTTTAAATTGTTCGTGTTCTGTATTAAGTTTCGGATAAATAGAGTTTTCTATTGTCTGGATTTTTTTATTTATAATTTTATCGATAATGGACGGATTGTAGCCGTTGTTCAGTGCAATTTGTTTAATCATATTAAGTTCTTTGTTGTAATTTTCTGTTGAGAGTGGCGTATTAAGAAGTCTGTGTATAGAAGAGTGAAATGCAGCCATTTTGTGTGTATAAGGGTGATCTGAGCTATTATGTATGACTGCGTCCGTGTGTTAAGGTAATTAATTAAGGAAATTCTTGGTAATTTTTCGGTATATATAGCAGCAGGTAGTTTGTAAATATTATATTTGATAAAGATACGGTGTTGTCAAAACAATTGTCATGTGTAATTTTGTGAAAATCTGAGCTTTTAGTTCTTATTCCATTCAAGCATTAAGCAAGGGTATAAAAATTTAGTTTTACAAAATCTGCATGATGACCACGAAGTACGAACATAAAGTAGAAATGAGAAAAATAAGTAACGAGTGGTTAATTATAAAGAATCCGTAAGCTGAAATTTCGATTTTCCTTTGGGCCGCCTGCTGAGAGAGCAGGAAAAGTCGAACTTCGCTTCTGCGCATTCTGATTGAATAAATTTGGACCGGACTATTTTCCAGTAGTCTGTAGCAAATCTCCACTGTCGTCCTCGATTCGGTTGACAAACGCTCACCTACTCGGGTCAGCACGATCAGCCGAAACTAAAAAATAAAATCCGGTTGGATAACAATTTAACGGTAAAAATACAATATACAAATACTGGAACTTTCAGAAATAGAAATAAATTTACTACTGATCAGATAAAAACAAATGCTGTTCGAAAGACAATTTAATATTCTTTAAAAAGATTAAAGTGTATTTCTGCTTTTTGGGTTTAATAATAACAATAATAATGGATGGATACCGTCGCCTCTGCGGCTTTTTTGCATTCGGGCGGTTTGTTCCCCGAGACTGAGGGATTTATCTTGGCTATCCAGGATGGCTACAAGATCATACAGAAGCTGAATACTTAAACAAAATGTGGAGAGTGTGATGTGCCGTATTTGCAGAAAGGTAGAGAAAAGTTTGGACCATCTAATGTATGTGAAGTCGCTAAAATAATCCACCAAGAGATCAGAGTGCAGTACATGGGACTAAAAGACGGTACCGTACTACCTGTATGAGCCCCTAATCCTTTGCGAAAACGAAAGCGTAAAAGTATATTGGAATAAACGCATTCCTACGGATCGCCATATACCAAACAACATCCCGGATATAGTCTTGGAATTAAAAGATAAAAAACAAGCTTTCATCATGGACGTAGCTATACCATTGCCTAGCAACATATCGAGGAAGTATACTGAGAAAATCAATAAATACTTGCCACTAGCGGATGAAATAAAAAACAATGTGGAGGTTACAGTCAGTGCGAATGATACCCATTGTTGTCGGGGTGACGGGCGAGATCCCAAAAAGCTTGCACGAAGAACTTCAAACCCTGAGTTTTGGAAACCAAAGACTTTATATCCTTATGCAAAAGGCAGCGCTTCTGGAGACATGTATAAGGTTGTTCAGAAAGTCATTTCGTTTTTTCCCGTCAGAGGACTTAATTACGTTTTTTCGAAACCAACTTCACACTTAAGCCGCATAACCATTATATGTCTTGAGAGCTGATATTGCAAGGCTTGTGTGTGAAAAAGTTCTATTAATTCTACGCAGTAGTTTTTGGTTGGTGCCCTTTTAAATATGGAGAGCAATAAGCAACATTTTCGTCATGTTTTACTTTTTTACTTCAGAAAAGGTAAAAATGCTGTCCAAGCGAGAAAAAAATTGACGGATGTGTATGGAGAAGGCGTGTTAACAGTACGCCAGTGCCAGAACTGGTTTGCAAAATTTCGATCCGGCAATTTTGATGTCGAAGATGGACCACGGTCTGGAAGGCCGATCGAAGCTGACAAAGATGCGATAAAGGCATTAGTTGATGCAAATCGGCGAATAACCACACGAGAGATCGGTGAGAGATTAAATTTGTCGAATTCAACTGTTTATGGCTATTTGAAAGGCATGGGCTTAACCTCGAAGCTCGATGTGTGGGTGCCCCATGTCCTTACGGAGCGAAATTTGTGTCGTCGCGTTGACGTGTGTGATTCGCTCCTCAAACGTCAAGAAAATGATCCATTTTTGAAGCGGATTATTACTGGGGACGAAAAATGGGTTGTATACAACAATGTTAAACGCA